TGCCGAATTTGAGAGAATTTGTATAGATTGTGAAAGTCTTTTGATGTGTCTTTCCCAAAACATCAGGTACGAAGCATTATCGTGAGTCCGTGATGTTGTGTAAGCACCTAGACAAGCAATTTACATTCATTTAACTCAACTAGCACATAGCACGTATATATCTAGCACGTATATATCTGACGAATTAATTTACTAAATGATTGAATATATGTTAGTACCTGGATGAGCTTCAAGAAAGAGTCTGTAAGGAGGAACATCTGAGGTGTGTGAAAGGATGCCCTTACTGAAGAGATACCTACAACCTCCTGACATTGATTTTGGACTGATAGTTGTTCAAAGGATCAAAGTGTTTTGTATACCTTATAGACTCTTTCTCCAAAAGTGTTTAATTACTAAAAAAATATTATGAAACAATTCATAAGGATGTATAAACTTATGAGATCGAAAGCGTTGACTAACAATGGGAGAGTGTTTCTCCAACGTTTTTTCGAAGAAGAGAAAGGGTAGAGTTGTGAGATGACGGAAAGGTTACATAATTTCAGTTGCTCCAAAAAAACGATAGTCTAGGCTAGGTAGGGGAAGGGTCATTATTTAATAGGTGTAAAGAACATTTTATATAATACTACCTCCTCTCTTTTTTTTTTATAAGAAGATCATGAAATCTTTACTATAAATTAAGGTTATGTTTGGATAATTTAAAAATAACGGAACGGAATAAGATAGAGTAAAATGAAACGCAATGGAATATAAATTTTATTCTACAGTTTGGATATTTTATAAGGGAACGGAGGAATTGATGAATGCCTGCGAGACTATGATAGATCCAACATTCTCACACTAAAATAATATATAAGTAATCATAAAAAAATATCAACTTAACACTTGAAAGAAATTAAAACATACAGTAATAAATTAAAATGTTCATAAATGAAACATGATTATTATAACTTGAAATTGCAAAGACCAAGTGCACAAGTTTTGATCAACACCATAGTGGGTATTCATAGTAATTCATAAACAAAATCAAGTTTTGCTAAAGTTAAATGATAAATATATGTCTATAGTAGATAATGATATCAAGTCTAGCTAATAAAAAAGACAAATATTGATTCATAATAGATAATGACTCTCTTCTTTAAGCATTCCACAAAACCTGAAAAAATAAAATAAAATAAATTACGCAAATATTTTATTCGTTAAAGATAAAAAAAAATACTCAAAAGTGATAAATAAATATGTTATCATTATCAAAAGGGATAGTCTGGAACAATGAGATGTAACATTTCCTTCCGCTTATCGATTGAAATTTCATTAAAAGCTTTCAATGCATCGGCATTCTTAACAAGGTACATGTATACAAGAGGCAAAGAACTTGGTTCAATCCCAATCTCAACCAATTCAGCCCAAATATCTCCACCATTAGCATTTTTACTCTGTTTGACCAGCTCCATGAAATTCATTTCAAACACATCAACCATTTTTTTGAAAGTTTTGGAAGTCTCGATCATGCTTGTATCATCTTCAATAACCTTCTTTACTCGCTTCCTAGTCCTAGATGATGATACATCTTGAGAATTGGTAATAGAAGACCTTGTAGGAGAATTGTTGGAATGATGTTCATCATCATCAAATCCCTCCAAAATAACTTCATTGGTTTCAACTAAGTGGTCTATTTCTTCGATGGTTGTGCCGTGACTTTTTTCAACATTTGCAACCTTTTTTGATCTCATTTTGGCAGTTGTACCTTCATGCTCTCCTGTTGCTTGATCTTTTTCAAAAAGTTTGGCCAATTTATCATAAAATAATATTGGCTTGGTTTTCCATTCAGTAGCTTCGGGTTTTGCCTACACCAAAATAAACGAAACAATGCATCACTTAAAAAGTTTTTAATGAGTGAACTCAAATAAAAATAATCGGGTAAGTATATAAAACAATTATAGTAAATAATACCTCAATTAGCTTGTTCCAAACTTCATCTTCGGCAATCCACATATTTGTTGTTGAATCTCATCCAAACCCACTCAAGCCATTCTGGAAAAGGTCATAACAAGAATTGAACTTTGTTTTGATGTGTTTCATGTGATCTTTTATTTTTTCTTTGGAAATTGGTTTGTCCGGAAAGTGAGTCTTCAATTCTTTAAGAATGCTATCCATAGCGTTTGTTGTCATACTATTACCATTTTTATTTCTCAATGTTTGTTGATGCAAATATGCATCAAGCAAAACTTCATCCATAGCAGTTGTCCAATTGCATGTTTCTAGACTTTTGAGTTTCCTCGGATTCTTTAAACTTGCTTTCATGTCTATTATTAAAAAACACAATGAAGAATATAATAACTTATGCATAAATTTAAATGTAAACGTTCATCATACACTAAAATTCATTCCACAAATTACAAATAAAAAATTCAATCCAAATAAAATTCTTCAAAACATTATTCATAAGAGTAACAAATTATTAAGAATAATTTTAATAATCTAGCCACATAGAACCAGCAACATTATCTCTAATTAGCTCTCTGCTAATCATATAATCGTTTTCTTCTCTATGATCTTGGTGACCCTCTTGAACATCTCTTTCGTTTGCAAGCTCATCTTGCACCTCATCAAGTAGAGTTTGATTGGGGTCTTCGTCCATCAAATAGTTGTGTAAAATGCAACAAGCAAGGATGATTTTATTTTGAGTTTTAATACCAAATGTAGGCTCTGTTACAGTTTGTAAAATTGGAAATCTTTTCTTCAACACTCCAAATGCACATTCAATAGACATTCGTAATGACGAATGTCGATGGTTGAATAACTCACGAGGGTTTCGAGGTGGATTTCTAGAGTATTCTTGTAAGTGGTATCGTTCTCCCCTATACGGTGTAATAAGACATGCTTTTAAAGGAAATCCCGCATCACCTAGATAATATTTTCCTAAAAAAAATAATGAGTCCATTAGTTTAGCTAATCTAAATACTTATACAAATATTTTTTATTACTTTTTATTACCTTGTGGAACTTTAAGAGGGTGTGCACGTGCCAACACACTCTTAACTATTCTTGAGTCAGAAGCAGTTCCTTCCCATCCAACCAAGACATATGTAAATTTCAAGTCAAATGAGCACACAGCTAACACATTTTGTGTGGGATAATCTTTTCTACCACGGTATCTAGGTGCGAGTTCTATTGGAACTTTAACACGCACATGTGTGCAATCAATTGCTCCAATACAGTCCTGACATTAAATTTATAAAATAAAAGTGTACAAGAAAACTAATCAATTGTTTTAAAAATTGTTTTAAAAATTTGTTTACCTTAAAATACGGGTAGAATCTATGGTTGTTAAGTATCTGCGGAGGCACTTGTGTTCCATCAAGTTGTTTTAAAAAATTTCTCTCCACCTCTATCAAAGCATCTAGCACTCTATGAAAATGACGACTAATAGTTTCACCGGAGCGTCTATAAAAGAAGGATATCACACGGTTTCTAACATTATGTCATTTTTCATTAATACAATGAACTTATATATATATATATATATATATATATATATATATATATATATATATATATATATATATATATATATATATATATATATATATTAATTTTTTATTAAAAAATACTTATAATAAATTTAGTGATTAATCAACTTTATAATTTTATTAACCAACATTTTACGTTGTATTAACCAACTTTAATGATTGTTTAAAATTATTTTTAATATTTCGATGTTTATTAACCAATTTTATAAATTTATTAACTAACTTTTTACTTTTCATTCACCAACTTTGACTTGCTATTAAAAAATATTTTTAATATTTGATCGTTTATTAATCAACTTCATCACTTCATTAACTAATTTTTTATATTTCATTAACCAATTTTATTCACTCTTAAAAAATTACTATTCATATATTATAAGCAAACATTGTTTATAATATTGTCCTTGTTCATAGTACTGTTCACGGACGCATGCAATGTTCATATGACATTGTTCCGCACTGTTCATGTACTGTTCACCGTATTAGTGAAGAGTACATACGGTGTAGTGTATGTTTTTGATGTAAACATATCATTGCTGTATATAATACTACCTCCTCTCTTTCTTATAAGGTAAACATATCATTGCTGTATATAATACTACCTCCTCTCTTTCTTATAAGGTCATTATATTTTTTTAAAATTTATTAAATAATTAATGTTATGATATTTATTATAGACTAAATACATTTAAGTTTAATTAGTATGTTCTGACCGTGTAATTTTACACTATTAATGTCATACTAATAACTTAAAATAAACAATACTTGATGTTGTATATATGGATATTAATATCGCTATCTATGATAAGTTGATAAATTTTAGTTTGTGAATTGTTCGCTCTAAAGATGCAAACACAATAAAGACTTCATTCAATCACCAATGGCTTAGTCCTCCAGGCATCTCATTAAACCTTATCAAAGAGAAATCTAAAATTAAAGAATTTCAAATAACATCTAAAAGGGTAAAAATTTTGAATCTCTTTCCCATTCTATACAATATGAATGTAAATTGTTTATCATCGGTCTTTCAAATTTTGCAAGTTAGTCTTCATAATTTATAAAAATAAAATAACAAAGAATAATTTTAATATTCTATTCAAACAAAAAGAATTAAAAATAAATTACTAAAAATTCTAAATTTTTTAAAAACTTCCAACTAGCATGTCAAAACGCATCATAAGAGACACAAGCTAATAATCAGCACACACATTTCAACATTTGCCGCAAGATAAAAATGGCAAACTTTCAATTCTCAATCTATCATAATGTCATTGAATTCTCTGCATTAGACTGCACCTAGCAAAACTAGCTCCACTCTTGTCAATTGGGCACAACATAAACACCTTAGGAGGCAGCCTAAGAAGTTGACTTATTCATGCTATTTTGTTTCTTGATTTGTTCTTCAACCTATTCATAAAGTTGTTCATACTTCATATCAGTCAGGTGGACACCTTCCAAGTAATTGCAATTTCACCTTGTACATATGTTACTTACTTGATACCCTTCCGAAATTGCTTTCTCCATAACCTTTTCCTGATTAAAAAAATTAAGCATTTTGGTATTATAACTGCAATGTTGGGAAATATATCTTTAGAAATAAGAAAAAGCTTGAGTGAGTCAAAGCCTTGAAGATTTTTTGTTCTTTATGAGTGTGATTAGTTAAACTTATCTTAAAAATAAAATTCAAAGACCATAAACCCTGTAATAGTGGAAGATAAGTGTTTCATTTTTCTTTTCTTCCCTAGTTCAAAATGAGAAAATAATAAAGAAAATTTACCTGGATTAAATTTGTGATCATCCCAGGTCCACCCTGCAATAACTCAAATTCAGAAAAACTAAAATAAAATTAATATAAATGCAGCAACAGTGGTAATTTACCACCTGAAATTGCTTTTTAGTCCATGATATATCCTTCCATGTTTTAGAATGGGCTGATTGCCAATCTGTTGGAACCTGAATACTATCTACATGTTGCAAAATCCTCAAGCTACCTGCAATGACATCAGATCCCAAGTGAGTTTTAGAATATAAGAAAACCTAAAAAGGAGTGTCTGAAATCTTGTGTAAGTTTGAATAGAATAGATAATTAAAAATCTCATAACTTCAACATAGAATAATAACTTTTCTATAGCCTACACCACCACCTGCTGGTGAGTGAGCGGTTTAAATGTATCAGAACCCTATCCCATTGACTTAGATCCAGGAGTAACTTTAGGGTACAGCTTTCATGAGGCTTCATCAGCCACTCATATTTCCAAAAGAACTATTGTGCAATGTTGAGTTCTATCCTCAATAACACTAAAATGAATAAATGAAAAGACAAGAAATTACTTGTGATGAATGCTTTCTCCCAGATTTCATGTTTTGACCATGATGGAGCAACTTCACGATACGGGATTCCTTCATTTTTGCATACCCTGCACAAGTGCAAGTCATGCCCAGTCACATGAGAAACAACTTGTTAGTGCTTTATACTTTCTATCCGATATAAATATGGCACTGCTCCAATTTATTTCTATAATTTTAGGACTTCCGCCCTTATTACATTTTCCTGACAAAGCAACACTACTAGTTTCAGTTTGCCCTTGTTGTGTACAGTTCTATGATCAAGACAATTTCTATGGACCTAGTAGGTTTTAACAAATAGATTTACATCTATGACAGGATAGTTTTAAGAATTCCAACATAGGAAAAAATCAATAATTTAAAGTTAAAGCCCTGATTTTCACTATTTTTGAGCTACAATCCACTGTAAATAACATATGTGCTGCCAAATATTTCTAGACATGGACATAGTTCCTTTGTGATTGAAAAAAACATAGCAGCAAAAAAAAAAATTATGATCAAATCATACTCGAGCACTAGTTGGCGTATAATTCCTGGAAGAACACCATCACTGATAGGAGCTGTCTGCACTTCAAAAGAGTTTTTATTTCCATAATCACAAGGGGCCTTCCCATCATTTAAATCCCTGTCCTAATATGAAACAGGAAATCAACAATATAATTTGTAGATGCAGGTGTACCACATAATATAAAGCAAATTCCATGACCCCATAAGCTTACGTCATATAATGTCTTAACAGATTAACAAGCACATGTACAAAACAGGAAAATCGAAACCATGACACCTTTGAATAATATCTTAGTATTTTAAACAGAACGTATGACCAATGAAGTCTTGAACACAATGAGAAGTTGATATTGATTTAATTATCGATATGATAAAAGAATAATAGGAATTCATCTTGACATTTACCATAACAAGAAAAAACGTTTTTCAATAAGTAGTTTGGCAACAGATTTTAGGTTCAAACCCTAGGAGATAAGATTATAATTGATGCTGAGGGATATAATAAGCTCACCTTGCAGCAAACAACGAAAAAATTTGTCACACAACCTTCGAGTATTTGATCACCATTATTAGACAACAACAGTTCTGTCACTGATGGAGGTCTGAGCTTTTCTAAAGCCTTCCTAATCCTGTATTGCAGAGAAAAAAAATTGAAATACGTAATTTGAAGGAACATCGGCACTATGTACGACTAGGAGCAGCAAAAAAAAATCTGTACTACAATTTATATTGTCAGAGGCATTAACTTACATGGTGGTGAAATAGAGAAGGATAAAATACAAAATTTTCAGTCCCAGACACATTACCAATTCTTTAAGTTTTTTAGTTTTTATAAGAGTGTGTTTGGATGAGGCAAAAAAAAAATAATAAGGTATAAAAGATAAGTAAATTATTCTCGACACAATGAAGAGATTTATAGGCCCTAAAAATAAGGACATTACTTTTCTAGAGGTATAAGAAGACCTAAAAAACTATAAGAGAAGTTATTAAGATCTAAGATTAATGATTTGAAGAGAAGCACGGTTCTGGAGAGAACATTATGGTGAAAGTTGATCCATGTAGTCGACCCCACTTAGTAGGATAAGGCTTGGTTGTTGTTGTTGTTTGTAACAGACATGCTACATAAATTCGGGGAAACCAAATCAAAATTCCACTATTATCACTTTTAAAATGTAAAACGCAAAAAAAAAAGAAGCCAGCATATTAGGCAACATTTGCATGTTTAAAATAGAATAGAAGGATAATTTCTTAACTATAGTAATAATTTATAACCGTTATTAACTTATTTGATTGTATAATTTTTTTCATTAATTTCTAGATGTGTGTGTTCCTTCTAAGTGAAAGCATATAAGAGTTTAGTAATACTTGTATTCTATTTCAAATAGCATGATAAACTAACCTTACCCAATCTGAATATTTTGCAGCTGCAAAGTTCCTTCCATAGCCCCCCACAGCCAAATGTGCACCATTTCCCCGAATACCAAACCGAGGCGGAACATAAGTATCAATATGCACGTGGACATCAAAAAAATTACTAATTTTTTCCTCACTCCTAGTCTCACATACATTCAGTTCCTCCAAATTACCACTAACAAGAGTTGTAATTGCCAGCTCCTCAGAATCAACCCTCTCTTTTAATGCAATCGGCAAGACCTTCCCCACTGATTCATTAACAAGCATCTGCAATGCAGGTTGCCAGACTGGAAAATTCTTATCCAATGGCAGCAAAGTTGCAGCATTATTAGACTTGAATAAAAGTTGTGGTGCCGAATTTGACAGAATTTGTACAGATTCTGAAAGTCTTTTGACATGTCTTTCCCAAAATAACAAACACGAAGCATTATTGTGAGTACGTGATGTTGTGTAAGCACCTGGTCCAGAAACTAAGTTGGTAAGTTATAAAATTAAAAAACAATGAAAAGGAATTACAAAGTATTTTGAAAGAGTTGTTTACAAAATGATTTTACTGATATTGAATGTATCTATGTACCTGGATGAGATTCGAGAAAGAGTTTGACAGGAGGAGCGTCTAAGGTGTGTGAAAGGATGCCATTACTGAAGAGATACCGCGAACCTGACATTGGTTTTATTAACTTTGAGGATTTGAACCAATAGCTGTCGAAAGGATCAACATTGTGAGGGTTCAAAGTTTGCCGGTAAAAGTTTGAAAAATGTGAAAGAGAAAGAAAAGAGTGGATGGTGCGGAGCGGAATGAAGCGGCATAGATTTCATTCCATTCCATCACTTACCACCATATTCTTTCGCCCCGATTTGGGCGGAATGAACAACTTGTCTTGTTCTGTCCTAAAATTTCCAAAGAATAGAATGGAAGCTTCGTTCGGCTCCGCTCCATTCCACTTCGATCATTTTATAATATTCAAACATAACCTCAGGCGGAATTTTACATATTTAAAGCATTAAGATGCAATCTGGAACATTAAAAGCACAACAGAATAATATAATGAGAGAATTCTAAGGGGTTAATAATGAAGAGAACAATACATACCTATGAACGATGAACAGAGACGGAAGAAGAGAATAGAAACGGTTGCGTCCAATATTTGAACGTTGTTTTAGGTTTTAAGCCTCGGAGATGATGAGAGCAAGCTAATGATTCCCTCTACCTTTGGAGTAGTCTATGAGATGAATCGTTTGCTCCCAATAGATGGAAAATTAATTATAACTGTGAAAGGAGATATCTACCGTGAACATGCATTGTCGCCAAATTCAAACGGAACCGGCGTCGGTTCGGCGAGTGGCACGGAGGCGGCAGCAGCAGATAAAATGGTGGATACGTGGCTTAATTTGTAGCATACGATTGATCTAATGGACCATAGTGTTTGCGAGCCATGAACCCTTTCTGTCTCGATGGTAGGGAGTCCAGATCCGGGGATAGTTTGTTTAGTTTTAACCGAGAAGATACTGTTGAGGACGTCCGGGTAATTTATTTAAGAATTTAACTTTACTGTTCCCCACAAAAGGTTAGGAAATGTATTTTTAACAATCAACCAGCGCGCACAGGTAAATCTTACATAGATAGAATGATCAATCATAAAAAAAAATTGTGGAAGATGCACAAACTATGTGGATAACACACAGTATGAAAAAAATTGAAAATTTGAATATAAAGTCTAATATAATTACAGTGATAAAAAAGGTTAAGTAATGTATTTTTAACAATCAATTCATGATATGTATCATTTTATTATATTTGAGGTATATAATTTGCCATCAAGTTTTTTAATTTAATTTAATATTTTATTTTAGTTTTTTAACTAAAAATTGTTACATTTTAATCCTTTAAAATACTTTTGTTAATTAATATGATTCGTTTTGTCAAATTTTTGTTAAAAATTGTTAAATCTGTTAACGTGATTTTACAACAAAGCTCAAGATATATTATTGACTCAACTATATATGCTGACGTGGTTTTACAACAAGGTTAAAAATCAAATTTAAACCGCATAAAATTTAAATATCAAATCGATAATAATGTCTAAAAAAATATTACTCTTCATAATCCATTTTCATACAAAATCAAAGTAATAAAATCACATTCACATCAAAATTAAATAATTAAAAGCTGAAAATATATTGATTTTACATTCAAGCATAGAACTTAATATTTGAACAAAAGCTAAATCTAGTGTAAAATGGAACTAATGGATTGTAAAACCATATATGTAACTTAATGGATTGTACACAATAGTGGGCTACAAATCCCTTATCCACATGAATATTGAATTAACCAAAATCATTCACTTGCACTGCAAATTTCAATTATTGTGCTTATTTTTGAAAATCTGGTATGCAAATCTCAGATTTCTTAAGAGATGTCGAGACATTTGATCTTTGCTTTAAACACAATGACAAGAAGGAGCACAATAAAAATTGCAGAAAATAAACGAACACAAGATAATTGTTAACCCAGTTCGATGTAAACAACATCTACGTCTGGGAGCTACCAAGCCAATAATGAAATCCACTAGATAGTATTAATTTTAAGCTAAACAACCTCTGATTTACAACTTGTCACTTAATCACTACACGTGCTTAATTTTTACCTAAGACTCTCCTAGGTATGAGACCCTTCTCAATTCCCTTTCAATCATAACAGTGACAGAAATTACAACTCAATGCAAACAATCCAACTCTAATATCAACACGATACAAGAGAGATTCACAAATACACAAATCCTAAAACTCACTAAACAACAATGTATTTTCCACACTTTGATTAGGTTAAATCCATCCTATTTATAACCATAAACTGGACTGGATTTGGGCTTTAAAAACGCAGCAATTCTATTACATATAATCTGCAACTTATTCTCCTCAAGAATAGTTTCTTCAATCCAAATTTTCCTAAAATGTCTCCACACTTAGAAAATGGCATCTTCAAATTCAAATAGGATCTCTGATTCCTCAATCTTGAATGCCACATAGGATAAATAAATATTCCCACAATATTCTGAAATCTAGAAATAAAATAGCAGTATCAAAACTGCAAAGTAACAGACAAAGATATTGAATCATCATGATAGGACATCTTGTACAATATCTTGTTCTTCAGTTTGTTCTTCATGTTAGGACATCTTGTCCAACATCTTGCTGTCAAGTTAGTTTTACCAAAATTTATGTCAATCTCAAAGGTTTGGACTTATCAATCTCGCCCTTTGGCAGATTTTGGATTAAACCAACTAAATAACCCTTGCATACAAATACACAAAAAGTTAAAGGCAAAAATTAGAACAGCAGCGGAAATAATATAGCATCCCCCTCAATTAGTTCCTTCTTCTGCGACAAGTGGTTAGCACTCTCCCCTTCAACAGCAGCAGCCGATGGTTAGCAGTGGTTAGTTAAGTTAGTATTACTCCCCCTTTTTAGCCATAATATGACAAATGTAGTTAACTAACCAAACAATCAAACATTAACACAATCAAAACAAGAGTTTAAAGTACAGATCAAGCACATGAAGTGCCAAAAATATCATGGGCATTTAGCCCTTACAAAACATAACCACAAAAAAATGAATACTACTAACAAACATCGTCTTTAGTAGCCTCATCATCCTCTTCCTCTTCCTCTGCAAGGTCCTCATTGTCGCTACTGCGAAAATCGAGGCCGACAATGACAGAAGAGTCGCCACCGTGCGTTATTTATCCCAAGAGAGGGAAAGGAAACGCTCAGGGAAAACCTGACGAAAAGAGGGATAAGATCGGTCATCGCAACCAAATCTCGGGTTCGGGAGTCGGTTACGCAAGGGGAAGGTATTAGCACCCCTCACGTCCGTCGTACTCGACGGGATCCACGCTTGTTGTCTAGTCTAAAAGGGTGATTGAAACTATCTAACTACAAGCTTGAGGAGAAAAGAAAAAAAATAAGTGACTCGGCAAAGCAACAACGCTTTGTGCCTACGTATCTCATTTGGAATGAGAAGTCAGAGTCAACGTAGTTCGGCTAACTACGGGTAAAAGTAGGGGAAGGTTGCTCGCCAAGACACCGCGTCTTGTGCCTACGTACTTTCAACTGGTATGAAAGATCAAAGCAAGCGTAGTTCGGGCTAACGGGGAACACAGGTTTGTTCAACTGTTTTTAGGCGAGTAGGGTTAACAAGTAGTTCTAGCAGTTGGTGTATGCAGCTCGAGCATGGGAGACTTAGGCGTTACCCTTTGCGGTAGAACTAAAAGTTAACAACACTCTTGTTATGAAAATGATTTCTCAAAGGATTAAAGGCCCCAAAGGGAAAAAAGAAGTTTGGATGATTGTTTTTTGTGTTTTTTAAAGAAGAAGTGTTTTTGAATTGGTTTGCAATTCATATCGCACTAGAGACTATGACTTGGGAGTGATTGCATCGCATATCACCCAAAGGGTACTATACTAAACACTCAAGCCATTGAAAGGAAACCCTTCAACAACCATTTCCCAAGTGGCTTAAGGCTCGTAACGTACAATATTCATTAACCTTTATTAGGTGTTTTGGATTGTTTAGGAGATGAGAAAAGAGAGACACAAACTAAGAGAGACTGGACCCTAAAGTTGTCATGCATAATGCTCCTAAAGTTGGGATGAAAGGGGAATGAAACTATCCTAGTGTTGTCATACATGGTTAAGATCATAATTTCTATCATAACCTCTCTTGAACAAGAGAGAGCAGAGGTCCTAAGGGAAAAGAGACAACAGAAGAAACGAAAACAACATAAACAGTGTAAGAATGCAAACATGGAATGAGGGAGGAAATTGGTGTGGGGAAAGGACCACCACAAGCTCATCTCAACCTCAAACAACAATATGAAATGTGCAAGAAAATAAAATATAGGGAAATGCACTAATGAAAACAAACAAATGCACTAAAATGGGATGAAATGGCCTAAACCAAACAACATCAACCATAAGGCACAAAACTAAACACAAATGAAATATAAACAAGACCTAAGACAAAGTGAGGATGGGAGATCATGTGAGGACAGCAAGGAACTCACAATAGACACTCAACCATAAGCATCACAAGCAAAAAACAAAGAAGCACAAAGAAATCAACAAGAAATGTCCTTAAGGATTCCATCATTTTAGGTATGCTTCAAGTACTTCCAAAGGAGAGACCAAGCCACCTTAAATGATATTCCTAGGTCATTGGACAGCAAGGGACATAAATTAAAAGCTCTCAAAGGCCAAAGCAAAGCAAAGCACAAAGGAGTGCAAGTCAATTCCCAAAGGGAAGCACACATGTTTCACAAAGAAACCTAATTGAAAGCTCAAATGTAAGCAACCAAAAGAACAAGCTAAACACAATATAATGACCTAAAAATGAACAAGCATCATCCTTAACATGTTATCAACATGAATCAAAAGGCATTGAAGGCTCAAAGGATCCAAAAATGTCATATCCCAAGCAAACTAGGTAAACATGTTTGTACGGACCTTCCTTGGAATAGCTTGACTTGCAAGCTACTCTAAAAATAGGAAAATGATCCAAAAAATATCAAATAAAATGCAAGAAGACCATAAATGCGTTGGCAATCAGAGGCCAAAATAACTCAATCAAATTCACTTCATAACATCACCATAGAAATTGATTCACAAGGGTGCTCCATTGTGAAGGAGAATTGCATAGGGTCAAATGTAAAGCATCAAAAGTCAACCAATAGGGGCAAAATGGTCCTAAAAAATTCTTCAACTCATCATTGATATGAGGACTGAATTTTGGTCATTGGACCCAAAGGAAATGAGAGAAACAATTAAAAGAGTAAGCAATGTCACAATTTAATCCATTTAAAACAACTCCAATATTTAATTCTATAAAAATGAAAAAATAATCTGAAAAATAAAATAAAAAATGTCTAAAAATAATAGACATCACAAGGTTTCTAAAACATATTTTTGTGAATTTTTTAGAATATTGGATCTATTTTTAAAGAATTAAATAGAAACAAAGAACAAACGAAAATAATAAAACGAAAAAAAGAAAAAGAAAATGCTGGAAAAAACCTGAGCCAACGGATCAAGTGACCGGTCAACAGATCCAAGGCTCCTCAACGTGCCAACGCATTAATGAGATTCAAAAGGAATCATGTGTGCATGGTCAAATGAGGGAATACCGTGTTTCTTAATCACACGGGTGTGAACGAAAGTCATTAGATCGCACGGTAACGGGATCATCTTCTCCATTGAGAAGTCAAACAACCGTGAATAGTGATTCCGATCATCTTCCTCATACTTCCGCCCATGTGGTGCAAACCGTGAATAGTGCCAAAACAACACATGAACCAAAACCGAACCAAATCCAACAAACTTTATATGAAAATTCATCTACGCGTCGTGGGGAATCCAAATCCGTCATTGGTTTTTCCTAAAACCTCAAGATAAAATAAAAACGCAAACAACAAGCTTGATGCTCAAAAAAACAAAGTTCATAAAACTCAACCAAACTTATCCAGAAATCATCTACACATTATGTAGATTACAAATCAAGCAACAATGAAGCAAGAACACGCAAAAATAGACCAACCCATGTCAAAAAAGTTTGGAGCTCAAAACTCAAAGTTCAACAAACAACCATTAAATCATACCAGAAACCATCTATGATATGCAAGGATTAAAAAGACATAAAAATGACACAAAATAAATGTGTAAATAGTGAGAAAACGTGAAAGAAAGAAACCTAGAAAATAAACTTCTACACAGCTCAGTGTGCTATCAAAGCTTGAAATAAGTTGTTCAGAAACGTTCTATAAGTCTCAAGGAGTGTTTTAAGATACTTAGTTTTGGTTGAAACTCAAAGAAACTTTGAAAACGATTTTCACTCTCACCTTCACTTTTTCAAAGCTGTTCTTGCTCTCTCTCTCACCAAACTCACTTCTGAAGACTTGTACATGTTCCTGGGATAATATATGTTGGGTTCAGATCAAAAGGAGGCCCAATGACAGCTCCTTAAGCCCAAACCAAGTTTCACTTTTTTCAAACTTCCCCACTTGCAAGGTACACGAATTTGTACTTGCCCAGTTGTAAAGAAGGCATGACTGATTTGCATAATGTCAATGCTGATCCAAGGGTTGAGGATTGCCCCTTGATTTGGCCTTATGGCAAGGTTTTGATGTGTTGCTTATTATTGAAGAAACCTTGAAAATGACATGTCAAAACAACTCAAATCCAAATTCTGAAACTACCAATGTTCTTAAAACATGTTTTAGTCCCCTTTTTTTAATTAAGTAAATCGTAGACACATGTAGGTATGCTAACAAAGTGGATTAGAGACAGTTTTTACCTCTTTCAAACCCAAACTCGAATTTCAAAATAATTCTCGTTCCCCGCCCCAATCTCCACCAGGGATGACGAATTAAAACCCAAGCACATTTCAAACAGGCTCGATTTAAGTTCAGGTATTCCCGCCCCACCACCATCTATTTAATAAAATAATTTTACTTTTAATAAAAATATTTATTTTTTCAAAATTAAATTACATTACCAATAATAAAATTAAAAAATCTTTAAAAAATTAGTACATACGTTTCAAATATTTTAAATAATAAATATAAATTAAAATATTAAAATATTAATCACATATTTAATATTTTAAAATTATCAAAATTAAAATAATAAAATACATAATAAAATAAATAGAACGTATTCAAAATGGATATTAATATTCTCATTATTCGAATCATTCCCATATTTTATACTACTTCTGTCCTAAATTATAAGTCACTTTGTAAAAAATATTTGTCTCAAATTATAAGTCACTTTCGAATCCCAATACAACATTAATGACTTTTTTTTCCCTAATACACCCTTTATCATTTATTTCTCTTTTCAATATAATTAACAAATGACACTTTTATAAATTCATAGATCAATTCACTTTTTCATAAAATAATAATTGCATTTCTTAATTCATATAAAATATAAAAAATATCTTATAACTTAAGACAGAAGGGTAATTGAAAAAAATTCAAATCTAAATTTAAATTCAATTAAAACAGATTTTTTTCATCACGGAGCAGGTTCAAAGAGATACCCAGAATGTGAATTGCTACCTCCGTTTTCTATTCTATAAAAAAATAATAATTATTGTATGAAAATAAAAACTTATAAATATTTTCATAAAATTATCATTTAATAATAATGATATAGAGAAGAAAAATTTATATAATTAAAATAAGTGAGAATAATAAACTTTTAATTTAATGGTATAATAGAAAACATAATTAATTATTTTATTGATAATGTAAAGTGATTAATATTGTGGTATAAGTTTTTTTTCTTCCTAAAACCATTTATATTAAAAAACAGAGTACTATCTTATAGTGACTGACACATGTAACATTTAAACAACTAGTGGACAAAATAATAGAATGTTACATTGTAATGTCAAGAACAATTTAAGACCCATGTTTCATTTTCTCCCTCACATCCAACTCCGTTTAAAATATCCAACAAAGGTTTCATTTGGCATCGTTTTCCATTTTCAATTCCTACCAACAAATCCTCAAGTTTTGATTCTCCGATCTTAATAAAATGGAACAAGGTAATAGAGGCACCATCATGATCACAAACGATGATGGAATCGACGCACCTGGCCTCAGAGCTTTGGTTGCCGCTCTCGTCGCCACCAATCTCTACAATATTCAAGTTTGTGCTCCTGATTCGTACGTAACGCTCTCTCTTTTCATCCCAAACAATGCATTTTCATGCTAATGTTTATATTGTGTTATTGTGTTACTTAATAACTATTTCAAAATTGGATCATTTTCAGTGAGAAGTCAGCAGTTAGTCATTGTATTACTTGGATTCACCCTATAGCTGCTAAGAAAGTTCACATTGATGGAACCACGGCCTATGCAGTTTCTGGTATGTTTTTCTATGCTTTGGAAATTGGAAATTGGAACATACATGGAGTACCATTGTTAGTGGACAGTGGTCTTATGCATAATTTCATATCAATTTAGTTAGGTCTATGGGGTGGCCATTAGAACAAACAACTCCTCTCAAAGTCAAATTGGGAGATGAGTTTAAGGTGAGAGCCCAAGGGGTTTGGTGGAAGTTGGTGCTAGACATAGGAAATATGAAGTCTGCCAATGATGTGTGGTTGTTTTATATTGAGATGGGAATGTCTTGGTTGGCTTCCATTGAAGGCATGTCGGTAGATTGGGCACATAAGGTGTTGCATTTCTCATTTGACTCTAAATTGGTGGAACTACGGGGTGAAGGCAGCGAACACAAAAAATCAATTTGCACCGCAATGTATGTTAGAGAGACCTAAGTTGTGGTGTAAAGGGTAGTTTATGTCGGCAAGAGCACAAGAATAGCCGCATGATCTAGATGTTCCTACTCAATAGATTTAAGAGGTACGTGAGTATCCTAGGGTGTTCACCAAACCGTGTGGGTTACCTTAAGAGAAAACAAGAGCATGCTATTCACCTTAAGGAAGGAGAAGGCCTAATCAATGTTCGCTTCTATAGGCATCCTCATCCTCATCACCACAAGAACGAAATAGAAAAACAAGCGAGAGAGTTGTTATAATCAGGGGTAATTCGTCCTAGCCAAAGTGCTTTTCAACTCCCGTGATATTGGGAAGAAAAATAATATTGAACGTGGCGGATGTGTGTGGACTACCTTACTTTGAATAAGGTAATTGTTCCGGATACATTCCCTATTCTGGTGATTGATGAACTTTTAGATGAATTGCATGGGGCACTACTTTTAGAAGTTAGACCTCAAATTCGAGTACCATCAACTGAGGGTGAAGAGTAAGGATGTGCATAAGGCAGCATTCCGTACTCATGAGGGATATTACGGATACCTCGTGATGCCATTCGGTTTGATGAATGCACCCTCCACCTTTTAGTCTTTGATGGACGGGATTTTAAGGGCCCTCTTAAGGAGGTATGTATTGGTGTTCTTTGTTAATATCCTAGTGTGTAGCCCAAGTTTGGAGGATCACCTCAAGCATGTAGCCATACAGTGTTAGATAATTTACTGCAGAGCAAGGTCTCGTGGCAAATAAAAAGAAATTCACTTTTTCCAAAATTAGTGTTGAGTACCTTGGGCATATCATTTCCAAAAATGGGGTAGCAATGTATCCCGCCAAAGTAGTTAGTGTCTTACAATGACCTATTCCTACGAGTGTTAAAGGAGTCCGGGAGTTTTGGGGTCTCACCAATATCATTAAGGCTTATAGGAAGATAGTTAGGCCTTTAACTGATCTGACCAAACGTGACAATTTCATGTGGGGAGATTGTAAAGAGCAAGCTTTTAAATTGTTGAAACAGAAGGTTACCTCAACCCCAGTTTTGGGGCTCCCTGATTTTCATAAAGAATTCATTATAGAGAGTGATGCCTCTGGGAATGGGCTGGGATCAATTTTAATCCAGGCGGCAGGACCTATCACTTTTTTCAGCAAGGTATTAGGCGAGGGAAACTTGAACAAATCAGCGTATGAGAAAGAGCTCATGGATGTTGCTCTTGCCATTCAGCATTGATGCCACTATCTGTTAGGGAGAAAATTTACGGTTTGCACCAATCAAAAGAATAACAAACAACTATTATTGCAGCGGATTACTACCATTTTGACAGTCTACAAACCTGAATTAGAAAATAAAGGCACAAGGTGATTGAAGAGGTTCACAAAGATGTAGTGCTGCAGGAAATTATTACTGCACTGGAGGAGGGCGAAGCAGCCCCGTCTAGTTTTTCTTATGTGACCAATGTACTCTGGTATGACGGACTACTTGTGGTGTCTGCTAGTTCTCCATGGATTCCTATGCTCTTGAAAGAGTTTCGAGGGTATACTGCATCCCCTGCCTGTGCCAGAACAGATTTGGGAGGATCAATGGATGGATTTTATCACCAGGCTGCCCAACTCAAAAGGATTTGAAGTGATTTTTGTGGTAGTTGACAAGCTATCCAAACAGTCATTTATTCCACTCAAGTGTCTTTTTAATTTCCACTTGTTTGCAGAAGTGTTTACCTAGGAGATGTGCGACTCCATGGAATCCCGTCCTCTATTGTGAGTGATCGTGACCCCATTTTTGTGAGTAATTTCTGGTGGGAACATTTCAAATTGCAGGGTACTAGTTAAAATCAAGCACCGCGTACCATCCACATAGACAGATGGACAGGCAAAAGTTATAAACTGTTGCTTAGAGATGTTTTGCGCTGCTGCATAGCTGACCAGCCACAAACCTGGCTGAGTGCTGTGGCGGCCCTGGGTGAATATTGGTACAATACTACATACCATGCATCCAGAGACTCCACTTTATCTGAATTGGTTGATGGAAGACAGCCCCTGACTCTCTCACATGATAGTGGAGAGAGTAGGTGCGGTTGCGTATTGCTTCCAACTGCTTCCCACAACACAAATTCTCCCACAACACAAATTCTCCCCGCGTTCCATGTCTCATTACTTAAGAAGGCTGTTGAAAATTACAGGACCGAAATTGAGATGCCTTAGAGCCTTGAGTGTGATTCTGCAGAACCATGGCAGCAGCAGTGCTTGCTGCTCGCACCATCACTAAGGAAGGGTCTGATGTCAAGCAGTGGCTCATTCATTAGAAAGGCAGGGCCAATGATGAAGCTACTTGGGAGGAGGAGTTTGTTATGCATATGCAGTTCCCTACCCTCAGACTTGACGACAAGTCTGTGTCTCAAGGGGGGAGTAATGATAGAACTAGAGATGCAAACATTGGTGACGATGCCGTGTCATGGTGTACCCAAGATATGGAGGGTATATGTTACGAAAAATAGGAAGAGAGAGAATGTTATGATTCCTATTTCATTTGTTTTGTTATTGTGTGTAAGTATGAGAACCTATCGTTTCCAATAATTGGTATTAAAAGTTGCTTAATTCTTCTTCGGTTTTAAGTTACTTTCAAATACATTACTAGTACATACTCTACATTCTTGCAGAATGTCCTTATGCAAATTCTTTACAGGGACTCCAGCTGATTGCACTTCTCTGGGAATTTCCAAAGCACTTTTTCCTACAGTAGCTGATCTGGTATGGCACCTCTACCCCTTCTGTTGGGGTTTTTAGTTTTTCATTCTAAGTACTTACATTGTTGTATGGACTTTTTATTTATTTTCCTTGCTCTATTTGCTTCTTGGTTATTTTTCTTTATCACAGAATGCCAGCTATTTTATTTATTTAGGTAGTCTTTGTAAATCTTTGATGACATTTTGTCCTGTATTTGCGCTACTTCTGGTTTCTTACCTTCATTAGTTTGTTGAGGTTTTCTTTTTTCTGAAAAATTCTTCACATACTATCTTTTTGACTAACACATGTGTCATGCATATTTACAGGTATTAAGTGGCATAAACATGGGTAACAACTGTGGTTATCACATGTAAGTAGTGTCTATTTTTCTACATCTTTAATCATAACACTTTTCATGTTTCAAACTGCAAATTATTCCTTTGCGTCTTAAAAGAAAATGTTCGTCAATAGACAGGAAAGGATGATACAGGATTTTAAGCCGCCTTCTTTTACTAAAACATAACAGTTTTGTATTCATAACTGTACTGATTATGTTTCCTTTCGTGCAGTATTTACTCGGGCACAGTTGCTGGAGCTCGAGAGGCGTTCTTCTATGATATACCTTCTATCTCCATTTCATATGACTGGTATCGTTGCAATACTTTTATGGCTATACTGTTGGAATATCTTGAATATTTGTTTTGAATTGAACTTTTAAAGAGCTTTTATTAATATTTTGGTCATCAAAATCATGTCATACCGTTCATCCGTCTAATACTGAAACTGATAATTACTATCCAATTTGACCATTTGGAGCCGCAATATGTAAATCCAGGGCTAAAGCAACAAGTAACCTACATGACTTTACCCTTGCCGCGCAAGCATGCATACCTATCATAAGTGCTTTACTAGCTGATATAAGGAACCAAAGATACCCTCATAAGTGCTTTTTGAATATAGATATTCCAAGCAATGTTGCTAATCATAAGGTAAGTTGGCTTTCTTTAATGTTTGACTAAATAAATATATAACTAACATGAAATAGCCAGATAGCCTTGTTATGATGCAGAGACTTAGGATTAATTTGTTGTTTTGTGTATTCCAAAAAGGGGTACAAGTTGACTAAGCAGGGTAAAAGTATAATTAAAATGGGATGGAAGCAAATCGCCTCTGAGACGGAAGGACGAAAAATGTCTTCTGATATGACCACGGCAGAAGTAGCAGCGCGTTCGGATTTTAACACATCATCTATATCACCTGGAAGTCTTTTATTTGCAAGAGAAGTATGTTCATTTCTCTTCCTTGAAAATCTCTATATTCATTTAAATAAGATTATTTCCAATATCTTTTGACGAATTCTCCTTGTTTTAACTTTTAACCAATGTTTCACTTCTTAGACTTTTTCTCAAGTATGATGTAGTATTCTATTTTATTTGTGTAGGTAAGAGGTGCTCAACATGATCATGATGATACTGATCATAGATGTTTGCAGGAAGGATATGTGAGTATATATAAATAAAAAATATTTGACAGTGAATACACAGATTGTAGCTAACGTGATTATGCTTTTTTGCTTATTGTTTAGATTACTGTTACCCCTCTTGCTGCTATCTCTCAGGCGGAGGAAGATTGTCAAAACTATTTTAAGAGTTGGCTACAAAATGTCTTGGAATCTCCCTCTTCATTGGCTCTATAATGCTGTAAGACATTTCACGTGTTCGCGATTTGTATGAAATCCTCAATTTCAACATATTGCTAGTGCTACCTCTAAAGGCTGTAATAGAGTTCACATTTTTCTTTTGCAGGAGTGTTATGAAATTATTGCTCTCACTATTTATTTTGCAGTAGTGTTATGAAGGGGGCTTCATACATTTCATTAGATTACAGACGTTCGACTTAGCAATTAAACTTGGTGGTAAAAAAGTGCCCAAGATACCTTTAACACTCTGGCTAAGAATCACTTTTGCTTCATATTTTTCATTGTATACGAGATGTCAGCTCAGCGATAAGAATTTGACATCGCCAACTCAAAGAACAAAGTTCAAATCTCATCTGAGAAGCTTATAAAATAGTTCAAATATCATATGTTATGATTTTATGAATGTCTATTTTCTTTAGATTATTCTAATTTTTTAAAAGGGATTTCTACTTAATCAAGTGCTAAGTAAGTTGTTTATATTTCTAGTGATTTTGCTAAGGTATGCATGTCAGTGTCACTGATACATTATTGTCTGGTGGCACAAAAAGACTTTTTCTGTGAAACTTGCGTCTTGCTATGTGATTTGAAATGAAAGGCCTAATTTATCAATTTTCTTTAACCTAACAACTTGTGATTAACAAGGCTATAGCTTGAGCTTTCACAAGTCATCATCAACAAGGAAAATCCATGTAAGAAACCGCCTTTTCAACAGCTTATAATAGACAGCTTAACAAGAAAAAGTCTTACCAAGAAAAACAACTCAAGAAATGCTTCTGTGATTACCTACCTTGATGATGTATACAGGTTTTAGACATGGCTGAAAATATGTGCAGAAATCAAAACCATGAATAAGATTATAAATAAGAGCTTATAAGTTATAGTGGTCACTTTAAAAACAAAATTTTAGAGTCATTATGTATCGATGCTACAGAAGTTAAAAGGAAAAGGAAAAAAAACTATGGTACTATGGACATTATAAATATATTTATGTACATTATGAGCTTCTTCTCAATCCTGTATAGTGTCCATGCATGGCCTTTATTTTTCGGATTGTAAAGAAGATGAATGTGATTCCACTAGTATGGACCAGAGGACATGCACGTCTTCGTAGGGGCAAGATTTGACATCTTCATACAGAATGTAAAGCCCTCTTCCTGAAAAATTTGTGTTAGTAGGTGGAAAGAAAGGAAGAAATTAAGTGCAGAAAGAAAAGAAAAGAAACTGTGTTATTGTTGGTTGATTTGATGGTTCAAGAATAGGTTCAAGAATAGAAGCTTTATGCAAGGTGCACAAACATTGTAAAAAAGAGGACACAATTCCCAAGTACATGCATGAGAGAATGTTATTAAACTTACTTTTCTTTTGAGTTGAATTCAACCTGAACCATAGCTTTTTGACAGGAGAGAAGAGGGATTGAAGCCACCCCATTTGGTGAAGAGTTGTGGCTCATGCACATGAAGTAATGTGAAGGTAAATAACAAGAGAGGTGAGAGAGATAAAGAGAAGAACAATCTCTAGACTTTGCTTAGACAAAGGGTTAAGATTTTGCAAGTGTCACTTTCATATTTTGTGACACATAAATTATATTACATATTTATTATGAGTTAAAATATGTTGCTGGTACAGTGCCCTTTTCAAGCTTGTAGAAGAATTAAGCCATTCCACCAATAAGCTGTCAATCTCATGCTTTTGTTCACCACAAAATAGAAGCATCTCTTGGTACCTATTTACCTTTCTTATAGTCTTATATTTGAAGATACATTTCCATGTTTTTCACCATCATTTTTGCATATAACTTAGTGGTAAAAGGCACACGTTGAGAAGGTTTCTTGTTGTGACATTTAGGTAGTCCTCTTGCATTTCAAGCAAGTATATGCCTCTTTTTTTAGCCTCTTTCACAAGGCTTTGTTTTGGTATAGGGTGCCTTATAAGAGTGAAAATTTCTGGATTGTCTTGTTGACTCAGATTTGCCACGTCACTCACATTAATTACTTAACTGAAAAAAAGAAATTACTCAACTAAGTTTGTTAAAACCTGTGTTACAAAGCTTCTATAGTTTACATATAGGCTTAAACTATAGTGGATTAGTGAAGGATGTTGCGCACCATGCATGATTTTATTTAGAGTTACTCAATCTTCTCTTTAATATGTTAAAATAAATAAAATATATAAGAAAGATCTTTCCAATGAAGCCTCGTATTTTTAGGAGATTGAAAAACTCGTTTATCTTAACCATTGATCCATCTAATTTAACTACTAATTTTCTAATTTAACTACTAATTTACACCTTGCACGTCATCTAATCCCTTAATCATATTTTAGCACACCAAAAAATTAATGATAGTCTATCAACTATTACAAACAAATTCACGATACAATACGAATAAGATATAATAAGAATAAGATATAGAATGAGAGCACACAAATTGTTTATTCCTTTAAATCAAACTGATCTATTTTGAAGAAAAAAAACTCCTATTAACTATCTATCAATAGTCTTTAATCAAGAGATTTAGATGATTTAAATGAATAACTCAATCTCAAAGTGTTTATAAGTGTTTTTTTAACTTTTAGATAATCTCAAAAAATTGCTAATCTCTTAAGACAATGAATCCTAAAAAGTTATTTCTTTGTCTCTAAATACCTCTAGAAATTCACCCATTTTCTAAACAAAAGGTAGAAAACCTTAAAAATGACAAACTTCTAAGGTGAAATGCCTAGCATTTACTCAAAATACCTCGTGCCTAGTCCAAAATGCCACACATCTGCCCTAAAAAACCTCGTGTTTTAATGTTTGAGGCAAAATAAAAAAGCTTCAAAAATGCTTTACTGAACTCTTCACTTATTCACCTCTCTTAAAAATGATGGAAAAAACCTTTAAAATGACAACTTTCAAGAAACAACTTTGTTGAACGCCTATTGTTTCCTAAGACAACTTTGCACCCCCGTTCAAAACACATTGAATCTGTCCTCAAACGTCTCTATTTAAGGCGTAATAAAAAAAACTTTAGAAATGTTTCGACAAAACGCCTCCCTATTCACCCTTCCTTCAAAACATGAAGAAAAAAACCTTTTAAATGACATAACTTCCGAGGTGAAACATCCAACGTCTTCTCTTAAATACATTGTTCAATTCTTCACTTTCTAACAAACATTGTTTAGCTAGCTTAGCCAAACATTTTTTTTACGAACATGTCCTAATTTTAAATGTCATAATTTGTTTTATCACGAAAATTCTATCATGCCTTGTTCAATTCTAGTAAAATAAATCAAATTATCAAACATGCTCAAAGACAACAAATTTTACATAAGTTCAAAAACATACCATATATTGTGTAAAAGGAACTCATGATTATTAAGCATCTTGAGTCTTAATGTCTTACACCATGAAATTTGAAAGTTTTGTTGTTACCAAGTCAAACAAATCCATCTTCTTATACCTCAAACGTCTCAAAGTATTCCTTACTTAAAAATATTTGATAAAAGCATTAATATTCCACAAACTAACTCTTTTGAGTCTATAAAATTTCTGACACTAATGACTAATACTCTCACAATCATCCTCATTAGTGGCAACAACAATACGAACATAATCACTCTTTCTCTCCATCTAGAGAAAATCATTTTTAAAGCGACCAATCTTATAACAAATAAAGAATGTGTCATTCAAATGTCAAATCTGCTTTGAATTATACCTAGATATTTTCCCCTTTTTTTTTCCTATACCCCCAAGCCTCTCTCTTAAAAATATTTAGGCCTTGGCCATTATCGTCAATGTTCAAATCTTTCATCTTGGTTAACTCTTTGCTTCTTATCGCCAATTGTACTATCTCAAAGGTGATAATATTTTTATTTACAAAAAGTGAATCTTTAAAATGCTTAAAGAATATAGGTAATCATCTCAAAAAGAGTAGAGCCTTGTCCTTATCGTCAATTCTCATCTCAATATTTTGCAAGTCTTCAACAATTTTGTAAAATTCTGTTAATTACTCCATAATGGATTTGTTCTCCACCACTAAAAATGAGAAGAGTTATTATTTTATACAATGATTGAAACTTGACCCACATATCCACAGTCTTATCTCTTGTGACTTCTCTTGAAAATATATCTTCGAAGGACAAGATAATGACATTTTTGGCATTACTATGTAATATAATTATCAATATTTTCACTAAGTACGATCAATTATGGATATCAACACTTGAACCCTAATAAAGTTAACCACAATGACACAGTACAAATGCATAACACATAATCGATAAATGGGTATCAGCCCTTGAACCATAATCGTGTAGTATCAACGCTATTTTTTTGTTCAAATGCACATACGTGATTAATATGTAAAATCAACTTACATTATAACATATTGAATCATACCAATTTTCTTATTCCAATGAACTCATACATTCTAACTGTATATATCTCATATATGTTAATCGAACGAAGTCAGTATAAACTATATATCAATGTTTTAAAAATCGGACTGAACCGTACGGTTCAACCAGTTAGATCGGGAACCTAAGATGAATATGGTTGGATCAACCTTTTAAAATTGCTAGTGGGTCAAAACCGGAGTTAAATCGGAAAAATCAGATTGAATCGTCCAAAACCATTCGAACCAAAGAACCGAAGTCGGTTTTGTAAAACTGTATGGTTCATAAAAAATGCATCAAATTGACCATTTTAAATTTTTTTATTTTATTTTAATATGTTAGTATCAAAACTTAACATACATTTTTCAATCACAAAAAATAATTCCGTGTGTTTTTACAATCATACAAACTTTTAAGTTTTGTCATTCTATTATAGTTTTTCTTTCAATCACACTCTATCATCATCATGTCGTTACTTTCAAACATAGTCACGATATCCAACTCAATATTGATTGTCGTTCAAGTCAATATTGTTTTTTGTTGTCAATTAATTCTTGTTTGTCGTAGTTCAACTCAAATTCGATTTTTTATTTTTTAATGAAGTATATTGTATTATTTATATT